TCAATGATTCCCTCTCATCACTGATGTTTCTCTCTCTCCCTCTTCCTTCCTCTCTAAAATCAATAAAATTATGTTTTTAAAGAGAGAGGGCCCTAGCAAAATTGGCTTAGTGGATAGAGTATCTGCCTGCGGACTGAAGGGCTCCAGGTTCCATTCCAGGCAAGAGCACACGCCTGAGTGGCAGGCTTGATCCCCAGTGGGGGTCGTGCTAGAGGCAGCTGATCAATGATTCTCTCTCATTATTTTTTTTAAATATATATTTTGTTGATTTTTTTACAGAGTGGAAGAGAGATAGAGAGCTAGAAATATCAATGAGAGAGAGTCATCGATCAGCTGATTCTTGCACACCCCCTACTGGGGATATGCCCGCAACCAAGGTACGTGCCCTTGACCGGAATCGAACCCGGGTCCCTTCAGTCCCCAAGCCAACGCTCTATCCATTGAGCCAAACCGGTTTCAGCTCTCTCTCGTAATTGATGTTTCTATCTCTCTATCCCTCTCCCTTCCTCTCTGAAATCAATAAATATCTTATGTAATAAAAGATTAATATGCAAATAGACCGAATGGCAGAAGGACCAGTCACTATGACACACATTGACCTCCAGGGGGCAGATACTCAATGCAGGAGCTGCCCCCTGGTGGTCAGTGCGCTCCCACCGGGGGATTGTTGCTCAGCCAGAAGCCGGGCTCACAGCTGGCCAGCACAGCATTGGTGGCAGAAGCCTCTCCTGCCTCTGCGGCAGCACTATGCATGAAATTAAAGAACTCATGGTGTTTTTACACACAGCTCGCTCCAACAGATTATTGGTATTTACATGAGTATTGAGTATTAGTTGCTATCATTTGCAGTTTGTTGGTAAAATGTAAAATAAGCAGGACATTCAAATCTATTTCCTTAAACATGATGAATAAACATGATCATGAAAACATTAAAAATCTGTCTTTTGGAGAGTGCCTGGAAATGCATGTACTAAATGGATTTTAATATAAGCAACTCTCTCATCAGTAAAGTGGAACTTCAGAAAAAGTCATGTTTTAGATTATTATAGCAAAGTGTGCACTGTGTATAAAATGTACCATCACAGCAGTTTTTTATAGAAAAATGTCTTAGATCTAAAGTTATCAATCTGCTGTCTTTTTTTTTTTTAGTACTGTAGTCATTTAGAAATAGCAGAAAAAAAACTCTTAAAAGCATTGACTTTTAGACTTCATTCTGACAAAAGAATTCGTTATTTACTTATTTTACAGTTAATCTCCATGCTAAATCTGAAAGTATGTTCTCAATAACAACTATAATAAAAGAATGTTGAGATAATGACACAAGATGAAAAAAGCAAGAAAAATGCTCATTTGACAATATAATCTCTTTCACATATACAAGCTTTAAGTAGAAATGAAATAAGGTAAATGCTCCACAAAAAATAACCCAGAGAATTCTTATAGAACATAAACATATCAAAAGGTGGTATGAAGCCTTCCTAGACTCCAATCCCTGTTGACAAAGTCTTTGTAACATAAGATATATACCTCTATAAAATTATGTTCAAACAAATTTTTTAGGCTGGAGTCCCTCAGCCAATCTTTAGCTAATTAACTTTGTTGGTGGAAGTGTTTGGTCAACTGGTAAGGCAGAGATAATGCTGTGTTCAGCAATACATTATTTTTCCTTCCAAACACAAAAACATTTCAAATTGTCACCTACAATTATGATAGCTTGGGTCATGTGACTTCTGAACAATGAAATAAGATATCTTTCAGAACCCTCAACAAGTTTTCTTCCCTCCCAACCCTATTGCAGAGTGTCCAAGGGTGGACTCCAGGACACTAGAAAATGGCACTCTTGGATCCCTGAATGACTGAGAGGAACCAAATGGAACAAAGATTAACCCCCACTCTCTGCTTGCTCCACACCATAATGTGACATAAAGGAGTAATGAATCATAAAAATATTAAGCTACTGAGACTTGAGAAAAACTAGATTATTCATTTATCAATTTATTCCTCAAATATTATGAAAAATAAAATTTGGTACTTCTCAGGAGGGCAAAGGCAGTAATTACACTGGACCTAAGTAAAATAGTAGGAATAGTTTTTAGAAACTATATGATCTCAAACATTCTTCAATTGGTTCCATTAAAATCTTACTTTCCTAATCATATGCTGAATCCATATCATCTTATTATTATAATACCAGATGTCTGGTGCACAAACTTGTGCACATTGAAAGGAAATTAATTAGAAGAAATATTTTAATATCATCATTGTCATTCACTCTTTCTCTGTAATAGAAGTGTCAACCAAATTCATGATCAACAATAACAGATGGAAACACATGCATGTGATTGGCGACAGTGAGAAGTTTATATGTATTGACAGACTTGCTTAATTAGAACTGCTTTCTGATTTAGCTAAACTTTTTTCCAGCCCAGTGAAGCACCCCAACTTCTCTTTCAGGTAATTGTTAGCAACACAGCAGTAAATATCAACATGAAGCAGATTATTATTGTAGATCACACAGCGAGAACAGAGGGTAAAATATTTAACTGAAGCAGTGTTTGACTATATTCTGCAAAGTGAGAAAATCTGAAGTCATTTTCAAGTTCCACCATTTCTTACTTCTTTTCAGTCGGGTCAAGTTTCTAAACTTACTAAATCTTCATTCTCCAGCTAATTGAAGGAAAATAGGATTCTATCAAATCTCCTATCTATTTATTCTAGGACTTCTGTGAGGATCAAATGAGATGAGGCATGTGAAAATTATTCACAGACATTTTTGGTTAAAGTGTAAAATGTTTGCAGCTGGCTATTAAGCAAGTCATGTTCCTGGGCTGAAGAAACTCTAAGGAGGCTAGTCACTAGGAAGAGGAAGCCAGGCATTACTATGTGACGTTATTACCCAGCACCCACATTGACCATTTCCGGACTGGGCTAGACAGTGGGCCACATTTTTCACAATGGAGACTCAGCAGCATTGGCTGTGATTGGTGGGGTATCACTCCAGGGTGGAGATGGGGCCTGTGTCCCACTTGGTTTGTTGGCACCAGGTTCATGGTGCTGATCAGTCAACTCAATGGTAACTCCTGCAATGGTAACTCCTGCAATTGGTGGTCAGTGCGTATCATACCTACCAGTCGGATGGTTGGAGGGACACTTAGCCTTTTATATTTAGATTATTATTCATCTTAGTTATAAATGCACAATACATCAACTACCATTCATTTCTTACCATACTCTGGGCATAGAGCTATTAGACATTTTGTGAATTAATTCATTTAATTTCAAAATATTCATATGAGGAATTTTTGAAAATATATGCATCTTACAGAGGAAACCGATGTCTATAAAAGTTAAGATGAATTGCCGAAACCGGTATGGCTCAGTGGTAGAGCGTCGGTCTGCAGACTGAAAGGTCCCAGGTTCGATTCTGGTCAAGGGCATGTACATTGGTTGTGGGCACATCCCCGATAGGGGGTGTGCAAGAGGCAGCTGGTCGATGTTTGTCTCTCACCGATGTTTCTAGCTCTCTATCCCTCTCTCTTCTTCTCTGTAAAAAAATCTATAAAATATATTAAAAAAAAAAAAAAAGTTAAGATGAACTCACAGCTAGTAAGTGCTGAATCCAGAACCTAAAAGTTCTTGTTTGAGCAATGGTAGTTTACTTCAATTACTCTATACTAGAATTATATAGTTCTATATTCATTCTGTAGGCCACAAGAAGGGTTGACCTTAGCAAATTTATTATAATCTTGATCTGTCCCTCATAGTGGAAACCTGACTTCATCAACTTGCTAAAAATTGATCTATCAATGATAGATGCAAAGTAATCAATAATGTTTTGATCCAGGAATCAGTCAGTTATGATGAATAACTTAAATTGGGGGGTGGGGGGAAGGGTCTTCACTGAAGTCCTAGAATATAATAATTACTCACCTAAAGGTAACTACCCTTATAAATGATATATTTAAAATTCATGTGATTAAAATATATATTCTAGGAGCAGGGATACTTGGGGAGCCAAATAATAATCAGAATATTGCTTTTAAAAACATAGATTCCAAATAAAGATATTTTTATGGAGAGAATGTTTGATAGCATCAAGTTTAAATAGCCTAATATTCATCCACAGAAGGAATGGCCTTGTCATTGGGATTAAAGTCCAATGGAATTAAGTCCACTCCCTCATCTCTGAACCATATTTGGATAGACTTAGCCTACATTGCTTCTGACTTTCCTTTATCTGCTTTCATGGATAAAATATTTTCTGTGGATACGTCAATATCTTCAATTGGATTATGTCAAAACCCTGCTACACAGAAATTTATATGTTCTTTGAAATGACTTCGCACATCTCTGTGCTGATTTATTTTGTGCTGATTTTGAAGTTTAACCATCTCGAGTCCTTTATTTCAAATTTACTTCCAATATCTCTCTCATTATAATTTCTAAGAGCAAAAACAATGACAAGAATTGGAAAAATTAAATCCTGGCTATTTATGAGAAACGAGTGAGGAGAAATAATAGCAGCTCTTTTCTTTTCTTTCACTTAGGGTAGAAGCAGTGTATTCCCAGGATGCAATTAATCATCTTAGCACAGCTCTTGCTTGCTAGGGTAAAGCTCCCAACACTACCCCTACAAGAGGCACCATGTTTTTCTTTCTAATGGTACCATACACTATACTAAGCTAGAGTGATTGCTCTGGAAGGGGGTGTGGCCCAGAATAAATTAAAGCTGGCATACAATGTCAGGGAAAGATGGTGGTAGGCCAGTTGTATCCCAATCAATGAAAAACTAAGCTTGTACAAGTTTTATGCTACCATCATGCCATGCACTTCAAGAGCAACATCTAATGCCACATACCTAGTGTTCCTTTTCCTAACCAGGCAAATGCCAAGAGGAGCACTTTCCCACAAACAAGTGTGTGTGAGCTAGTAAATGCAATATTAAGGCTAATGAATCCATCAGGGTGCTTCAAGACAGGAATGATTCAGTCAAACAGAAATGATTTTTGTTATTTTATTATTATTTATTTTTCATCCATGGAGCCAGAAGGTGGGAAGTGGACCGAGAACCCTGACATGGGACAGATCTGAAGGAACTTAGGAACCTGTCTAGTAGTTTAGAGTCTGGAGGATGCTATAGAGAGAAGTACTCAAAAAAAAAGCAAAAATGCTGAAGCAACTTTCTCAGAAGACAAATCATGCACACTTAGGGAGTTCCCAGATGCCTTTCTGCCTGGATGCAGCAACTTTCCTTGAGTTAGAGAACTCATATTTGGAAACTTCTGCTTGATAACAGCACACCGATGAATTCTTTGAGGCAAGTTGGATGATCATGCCATCAACCTTCATTGTACTGACCAGTGAAAAACTTCTGAAAATAATGTGGAAAAGATAATGAAATACATGATCAGTAGAGAAAAAGCAAAACAATTTTAATAAGAAAAAGGTAAGAATTGTTATAAAGACAGAAAGTTTTAAATTATATTAGTACTGTATTTGTAACTTGGTAAATTATTGTGGTATTAAATTGTTAAGTTGTCAAATTTTATTTTTATTAGTAGAAATAATTTAAATGATAATAAAATTAGAAAAATTTCATGAAAGTAAGCATTGATTTTGGTGTGGAGGAAATTTAGTAGGAGTGAATACTTAAGCTATTTCAGTAAAGTAAAAAAAGAACACATGTGAATACTCGTGTATAATTGAGTATAAACAAAGTTAACCTCCGCAAAAAATGAGTAAATAAATTAAGAGAACTTAAAAGAAAAAAATGTCAACAGTGATTTTTGGGGAAAAAATTTACAGATCCTAAAAAAAAATTTACAGATTCAATTCTTAGCATCAGTAAAAGACACAGCACACCAAATTCACCAACTCATGGTTTCATTTGATTCTGCTTAATAGCAATCTCCTACAGTCAACAATAAGCTGAACCTTACTCATGGAGATAAATCAGAGCCAACATAAAATTCTAAAATATTATATTCCAAAAATAAATAAATAAATACCTATTAAATAAATAAGAGAGAATTTCTTTTTTAGCAGAATGAATGAAGGGGGGGGGGAGAAGGGGTGATGTCGAAGTTGAATGAAAGCTTTTATTACATTTCCACTACTGCTGAATAAATAGCTGGAGGTACTTGTCTAAAAGCTGGGTTTTTGGACAATTACTTTTGGTTTATTAAAATATAGCTTAAGAGTATGTGCATAGAAAATAAGTAATGGCCATTAAGTTTTACCTAAGGCTCTTAAAAATTACTTTCAAGAAAGAATCTTACCCTGGCCAAGTGGCTCAGTTGTTTGGAGCATCATCCTGTACACCAAAAGGCTATGAGTTTGATTCCCAGTCAGGGTGTAAACCAAGGTTGTGAGTTCAATCCCAGGTTGGGGTGTGAATGATGTTTCTTTCTTCCTCTCTCTAGAATCAATAAAAACATACCTTCTGATGAGCATTACAAAAAAAAAAAAAAGTCAAATTTAGTTATAATGTTGGAGAGAGCTTCCCATTTATTGAAAATAACATGTTAGAACTATGTAGTTATATTTTCAGAGATAGAATTTGAATTGCAAGTCCTAAAATGTCACTATCATGAAGCTCTACTTTAGTCAGGTAACTGCAAATTGGATCTGGGTTTCTTTTTCTAAAAATGAGAAATAAAAAGGAATAATGTACTATCCATATTTATAATCTTTTCTTTAAGTGTATGGGAAACATGGTGCCTATAGTTCATTATTTCAGTGGGGCATTTGGTTTGTCTTATCTACAGTTAAACAGGGTAATACACAAAGATGAAGGCCCATTCAAGAGCTTACCCTTTTCAATCAGAAAAGGAAAAATGCTCAAATCTATCCTGGTTCATAGGTAGCACCTGTATTGCTTCCACACATCTGTAGAATCACAATATCAGCCAACTGTTAATCAAGGATCAGTTCCCTTCAAAGTGACTCATGATCCACTGTTAAAACAGCTTATAAAAATAACTTCTCTTCTGAAAAGGTGCTTCAGAGTTTTCAGACACATCTTAGCATTCCTGCTAGCTTAATGCATGTTTAAAAGTTAATTTCTCATTAATATTTAAAGAAGTGACTTCAGAACAAATTTTAAATGATCCATTACATTTTAGAAATAAAATATTATTGGCATTATTTTCATCTCAGTTACAAAGAATAATAATGTCCAAGACTGGCTTTTAAAACTGTTAATGAGCCCTGGCAATGTGAAAAAGATATGGATTAGGTAGATGTAATGAGATATGATTAAAGGGTGCAAGCACTGAAGGGTGTTGGAGAAATTATTTTCAGAAAGAGGATAATTAGTGTCTGATAAAAGTACTTAGTAGATAAGATTTTTTTTTTGAAGAACAAGAAAGGTTAAGATAAACACATACTTTATGACAAACCTGCTTCATTTTTCTCCTTTGGTTCTCTTATATACTCAATATTATGTTGAAACTTCATATATAATGTTGGTCGAATACTTGATGCAATTCTACCAATTAGAGTGTTTTAATTGCCAGACACAGAGAGCAGAAAATGTGTTGTAACATCTTATTCCATTTTCAGTGTACATTTCTTTGTTGATTTATGTAATGTAGCTAATAATATGCAACCTACCCTAGCTTTAAACAAACAAACGAACTTCTAAAAAACAAGCTTTCCATAAGTTGCTAAGCAACTCCACAGGCACATTTTACTAACTTAATAAATAATATTTAGATGACAAACCCTTAAGAAAGATTTCTAACACCATATTGTTAAAAGTAGAATATCCAAGCAGGTATCCTTCTAATTGTCCTGTTTCTAAAGCCTTGGAGCTAGGAAGAGACACTGTCATTTTCAGAGCCACTTTTGACTCACTAAACAAATAAAACATTTCTTCAATTGAAAAGTTAGGTTCTGGGTCTCATTGTCTAGTTCTCCAGAGTTAGAACTCTTACTTCATATCCATAACTGAAGGTTTCTCAATCTGGGCACTATGACATTTTTTGTTCCAGAAGATTTATTGTTTGGGAACCAGGGGCTGGGGAGGTGTCAGGGCTCTCCTGTGCATTATAAGATGTTTAGCAATATATATCCCTGGCCTCTACTTACTAGGTGCCAGTAGAGACCCCATAGTTGTTAACAACTAAAAATGTCACCAAACATTGCCAAATGTGTCTCTTGAGTTGGGGGGTGGAGGTGGGGAGGGGGTCGTCAAATCACACCCAGATCAGAAGTACTGCTACTGAATAATGGGTCAATATAAATAATGGGTAAATGACTAACCTCTGCTCACCATCAGTCAACACAATATTCCCTACCACCAACAGAATGAATAATTGGGGTAGTACTGATTTCACTGCTCCTGTGGCTTTATTCTATTCAAACCTCATCATCTCAATGTATTTTCTATTGTATAATAATTGGGGAGAAAAGTCCTAATGATGGCTCTGTCTATAGCCACTATCTAGTAATATTGCATTCCAGAACTGCACCAAAATCTTTTTTTTTTTTTTCTTACTCTTTCTCCCTCAGTTTTCATCATAATCAATTGCTGGCTAGAATTTTTTAAATTCTATTAAAAAATTTTAATCATGCCAAACTCTACATAGAAAATCAGTCTCTGCTATCAAATACAATCTCCTCTGGTCTTTAAGGTTTACTAGAAATCACCACCAAACTCCAGCTCATCAAAATCTTTCTCATTCTTTGTGTATGCCACCTTTAATCAGCCCCCAAATACAAACAGCTTGCATATTCTAGTCTTCTTATGTGACACATTAAGGACAAGTTAATACCCTCCATGAAAGTTTTCCTAATTAATCCTTTATTTCTTATCAGTATCATATTTCTGTTAAAAGAATGGCATGGCTGCAAATTAATATGTGAGACAATTATTTGCTGAATGTTTTCCATATGCCAGACACTGAATATTACTTAGTAACTGTTTCTATCAATTTAAGTTTACATTATTTATGCCCAAGTAGATTGTAAGTTCCCAGAGGATAAGAATGAATCTTATTTATATCCCTCTAATGCCTCTTCATAATGATGCTAATAAATACAGTTTAACTTTGATTTGCAATTATAGCCTTTCAAATTATTTTCATGATTGTTACCTTATTGGTGTATATTTTCACTGCTACAATCCACAAAAATGGGATATTAAATGCTCTAGGGGACTAGGCTGTGAGTTATACAACTAGTGCTCAGTAGAATATGCACTTACATATGTTGACTGAATCTAGTCTCATAACTTCACACCTATAAAATTTCTCTCCTTGTTAAAAAAAAAAAGTTATTTTGGCAATTTAAAAACAAATGCTATTGCAAAGAACAAGAACAGTTGAATGATGCAGATGATACAAGTGAATTAGGATCGGCAAGGGTTAAACTATTATATACTATATCTTGAAAGCAAAAGAGATATCTTAGTTTCTGCCTCAAGTTGGCTACAAGAGATTAAGTTAACTCACAAGGCCTTGACTTCTTGCCTCAGAAAGTAAAACTTTAAAAAGAAAGCAAATGGAAAAGAAAAGCCACAGAGGAGCTGATAAACCCCCAAATTCTAAAAATCACAACATTTTACCCCACACATTTAAAAAAAAAAAAAAAAAAAAAACCCTCAGAAACCGTTTTCAGCAATTCTGACTTCCTCCCGATTTGGGGGAGTTCCTCCCCCGACCCCCCACCCCCCCCAAAAAAAAGGAAAAAAGAAAAGAAAAACACCAAAATGCCTGAAAAAAACATTTGATCATTAACCTCTCAACTAATTTCAACAAAACACCAGAAGTCAGAAGTCAGCTAATTTTTAAGGTTTACCCACTAGCTCTAAGCACATGTGCCCAAAGTGGCAAACCTTTATTCGGTAGTTCTTTTTAACATTTATTGCATGCCTACTAAGTTCAGACACTGGCCTAGCCTTAAGAAAGGACTAAGTTGTTGATGGGAATTTGTGCATGGAATTAAAAAAGAGGCAGGTGATCTGAAAAATAAAAGGGGGGCAAATATTTATCTTGTGTGCGCCTTAACTCTCAACTCCTAGCTCTCCACTCCCTTCCCTCCTGCTCCCCTCCCCTGTTTAAGAAAGCGAAGACGTTCAAGGGAATTGAAAATAAAGAGAAATAAAGGGAACAGGGAAAGGAACATCATCCGCCTCCTGGAAGGTAGCCCTTGGCCACGGGGCTGGCGGAAGTGCAGAGGCCCCCGGGGCGGAAGTGCTGTGTGTGGGTGTGGCCCAGCCCCTCCCCCCCCCGGGGGACCGGAAGTCAGGCCCCGCGGAGCGCGGGAGAAGCCCGAGGCCCCGGAGCCTCTCGGGGTTTCCTGTGCCCGTGAGGCCCGGTCCTGTCCCAGAGGCTGTGGGCAAAGTGGGGGTTTCTGGGCGTTAAGGAC